GAGCATAATGCATCAGACTCCAATCCATTATGCTCAATCCGCAGATCCGGACCATCCAGCGGGGATCATCGGCTTGCAACCTATATGGGGTTAACTGATCTCTCCACGAAAAGGTAAGTTTTAAAGTAAGACGACGATCCCGCAAGATGGATCAGATCTGTGGATTGGGGAGCATAATCCATTCATCATTGGATTGGGGAGCATAATCGGACTCCGATCAGTTAACCCCCTATAGGTTGCAAGCTGACAATCCCCGCAGGATGTATCGGATCTGCGCATTGGGGAGCATAATGGATCGGACCCCGATCAGTTAACCCCGTATAGGTTGCAAGCTGACGATCCCCGCAGGATGGATCAGATCTGTGGATTGGGGAGCATATTGGATCGGACTCCGATGAGTTAACCGCCTATAGGTTGCAAGCTGACGATCCCCTCAGGATGGATCAGATCTGCGCATTGGGGAGCATAATGGATCGGACCCCGATCAGTAAACCCTGTATAGGTTGCAAGCCGACGATCCCCGCAGGATGGATCAGATCTGCGGATTGGGGAACATAATGGATCGGACTCCGATCAGTTAACCCCGTATAGGTTGCAAGCCGATGATCCCCGCAGGATGGACTCTGATCCATTATGCTCGCCAATCTGCAGATCCGGTCCATCCTGCGGGGATCGTCGGCTTGCAACCTATACGGGGATCGTCGGTTTGCTTTAAAACTTACCTTTTTGTGGAGCGGGTCTGGTGTCACCCCGTGCGACAAGTGTCACCCGGGGCGGCACGCACCCCCCACACCTGCCTAGGGACGCCACTGCATCCATCCCTGCTTGGAGGAGGCTGAGAGTTAAGAATACATACTAGAGAATGTTTTAACCACTTCAGCTCCAGCGAGGCACCCGTACATCATTAGATTTTTGGTGGTTATACCAGGATGATGCCGATATCGTTTTTTAGAGCTGACGGTTGGCTTTTTTTGTAAAAGCAATCCAAATGGCTAATTAGCCGAGGGATCGCTCTAAGACCTCATGCACACTTGATGTTTTTACAGCGGCTGTTTTTTTGACTTTTTTTTCTACAGTCAGTAAACCCCCCAGCATGTTATCCTATGTGTCCATACACACAGAGACTGGAATCAACGTTTTTTGGCAGGGGCATTTCTTGGCTGGAAAAAAAAAACAGGACTAGTGGGTTTCTAGAGTTTTTTAGCTGTAAAAATCAAATTTCGTCATAAATTTATGCCAAAATGTATTCTGCTACATATCTTTGCAAAAAAAATCCCAATATGTGTAAATTAATTGGTTTACGTGAAAGTTATAGCGTTTACAATTGGCGGTGCATATATATATATATATATATATATTTTTTTTTACTAGTAATGGTGGTGATCAGCGACTTATAGCGGGACTGCAGCGAGCATTCTGACACTGGGGGGAACTGACTTGGTGTCACTGACATCCCAAGTGACACCAATACAGGATGCAGGAAGGAGTTAACATGAGGGGCGATCAAAGGGTTAACTGTGTGCTGGGAGTTTTTACTGGGGGGCGCTGTGTTGGTGCTTCACTGTATGCACACTGCTCTGGATGGCTGTGCTGTGCACAGCCATCCAGAGCAGTGTGACTGAGCCAACAGGGAGGAGGACTGTTAGTAAACACAGCAGCCCTCCTACCCTTCGGAGATTCTCAGTAATCACTGGACGCCGACAGGTAATCAGACGGCCCGGGACCAGGTGATTGACAGCCGCGGCTGCAAATGGCTCCCCAAGTATGGGGCGCGTGTGCAGCTCGCGTGCACCCCCTACCCGGAAATGCAAAATCACGTATATATACGTGATTTTGCGCACCCCTGCCACCCTGTAGCAGTATTTCTGCTATAGGGCAGCAGGGAAGTGGTTAAAAAGGAAAAGCATCTGATCACACAGATCTTGATGTGATTCAATGCTTTTAAGGGCAGAGAAGAGATTGGGGGTATAATAGACTATGCCTGCCCTTTCTACACCCCTCTCCATTCACAGGAGCTCCATTCCTTTGTAGGGCTACCCCTGTAGAAGCCGCTGGATAGGATGAGTCCTCTGTTTTTTGCCTCAACCTTCTCAAGAACCTCTTAGATTGTAAGCTCCCAGGATCAGGGCCCTCCTATCCCTCTTGTATTGAACTGTATTGTTGCTGTATTGTCTCAGGCATGAAATTTGAGCAAATCATATCCCTCTATACTGTATACTTGTCTCAATTAAGAACACTAAGTGTAATTTCTATCTGCTGCTTCTTTCCTCTGCTATCAGCATGTATCACTTCTGATAAGTTTTCCTGACACCAAGAGAAAAATGGTGACGGGGAGGGATCTCCAGCTGACTGACAGCTTCAGCTCAGTTCCTGTGTGCTGTGTGAAGGTGGTGTGTCCCTTCCCTCCAATCAGCTCTCAGAGCTCTTGTCACTGAGCTCTGTAGAGTATAACTTCAGCTCTTTGTCCTCTTTTTTAAACTCTCAGATAAGCGTTATAAATTCTAGAATGTTCACACAGAGGTAACCACTATTTAACTCCCTTGGTTAGAGAAATAACTTTGCTAGGCAGTTTAATAAAAATCATCTCTCCACTCCTCCTACGGCACTGTGCCTATTGGGATCTGTAGTATAACCATTATAGTAGAGCCAATATATGGCTGCCTTCTCAAACTACATCTCCCAGGAGTCGCAGTGCTCTGCATAGAGGTCTATGGGCTTGCTTGGATTCAGCTCTCTCCCTGTTGGCCGTAGGAGGTTGGTGCAACATAACATCAGTATCTCAGTCAAGGGAGAAAGAATAAAGGACAATCCATCTCCATGTTGCTGTAGCCCAGCCCCTGGCTACACATTAATCCTATGATTGGAGATGGGTGAATGAATGAGGGTTCAACACCCCTATTCATAGAGCATTCTTCATTCAAGCTGCTGCTTGAAAGGTTTGCTGAGCTGTCATAGAGTTGTGCTCAAAAGTTGACATACCCTGGCAGAAATTGTGAAATTTTGGCATTGATATTGAAAATATGACTGATCATGCCAAAAAATGCTCTTTTATTGAAGGATGATGATCATATGAAGCAATTTATTATCAAATAGTTGTTTGGCTCCTTTTTAAATCATAATGATAACAGAAATCACCCAAAAGGCCATGATCAAAAGTTTGTTAGCTCTTACCTGGAAGCACTGACTAGGCTAGATACCAAGCCATGGGGATCAGAAAAGAACTGTAAAAAAGTCCTGCATAACAAGGTAATGGAACTTTATAAAGATGGAAAAAGACATAAAAAGATGTCCAAAGCCTTGAATATGCCAATCGGTACTGTTAAATCACATATTAGGAAGTGGAAGTTTGGGAATCTCTTAATACCAAGTCAAGGTCAGGTAGACCAAGAAAGATTGCAGCCATAACTGACAGAAGAATTGTTTGGGATTCAAAGAAAAACCCACAGGCAACCTCCAAAGAAATGCAGGCTGCTCTGGAAAAGGATGGTATGGTTGTTTTTAAGGAGTACAATACGGTGATACTTGCACAAAAATTAGCTGTTTGGTCGAGGTGCCAGAAAGAAGCTTTTACTGCACCAATGCCACAAAAAAGCCCAGTTACAATATGCCTGACAACAGCATGACATGCCTAACTGGGCCTTTTTGTGTCATCGATGCAGTAAAGGCTTCTTGCTGGCACCTCGACCACGCAGATAATTTTTGTTCAAGTGTCATCATATTGTGCTTCTTCAAAACAACCACACTGTCTTTTTCCAGAGCAGCCTGTATTTTTCTTGTGGTTACCTATGGGGTTTCCCTTTGTATCCTGAACAATTCTTCTGGCAGTTGTGGCTGCAACCTTTCTTGGTCTACCTGACCTTGGCTTGGTATCAAGAGATCCCTGAACTTTCCACTTCTTAATAGGTGATTTAACAGTACTGATTGACATATTCAAGGCTTTGAACATCTTTTTATGTCCTTTTCCATCTTTATAAAGTTCCATTACCTTGTTACGCAGGACGTTTGACAGTTCTTTTCTGATCCCCATGGCTTGGTATCTAGCCTAGTCAGTGCTTCCAGGTAAAAGCTAACAAACTCATTGACTATTTATACACTGACAGTAATTGCAATTTAAAAAGCCACAGATGTGGGACATTAACCTTTAATTGGCATTTTAACCCGTGTGTGTCTCCTTGTGTGTCAGTACCAAGGCCAAACATTCCAGGGGATGGAAACGTTTGATCCGGGCCATTTGGGTGATTTCTGTTATCATTATGATTTAAAAAGGAGCCAAACAACTATTTGATAATAAATGGCTTCATATGATCATCATCCTTCAATGAAAGAGCATTTTGTGGCATGATCAGTCATGTTTTCAATATCAATGCCAAAAAAAATCACAATTTCTGCCAGGGTATGTAAACTTTTGAGCACAACTGTGTATGTTCATTGATAAGTTTGTCCATAGAGGGATTCGGGAAAAAGAGAAACAACCACAATTAAAAAAGGTCCAGACTTCAACCAAAATGTGGAATGATCAAAGTCATACCTACCTCTGGGGAATAGTTGATGGGCCAGTTTGGAAGTTCGTAGCCAGTCACGATGGTTTCCTTCACATAAGGACAATAGTGGGGGTGTCACCATTCTTCCAGTGGAGGTCAGGCAATTATCATTTTTGCTGCTGGTGGGTTGGTGGGTGCTACCAGGCCTTCTAGCTGGACCGCTCCTTCCCTGCTGCACAGGTGGTCCTCTCTCTGGGGACAGGTGAAGTGCTGAGCTTTTCTCCTTCCAAGTTTCCTGCCTGGAGGTGAGACCCTCTCCCATCTTGGCTCCCTCCCGGGCTCCTGCTCTCCAGCCTCACTTCCTCTCCATCTACCACCTGAACTTTCCTCCAACTCTCCTGCTGCTGACCAGGCTCAGTTACTATTAAAGGCTGTCCTGGCCCCTTACAAAGCCTCCTGTTGGGGATTGGCCAGGATCCTCTAAGAGCACAGACCAGCCACTCCTCACCTCCGCTCACTTCTTCTAGATCTTTCTCCAAATTTCTAGAGCAGGGGCAGACTGACCATTTGGAAACTCGGGCACTGCCCGAGGGTCCGGGGTCAGTAGAGGGCCCCATGAGATGCCCCTGGTACCTTTTTCATAGGCTTTTTTAAGTTTGGACAAGGACACAGGGGCCCCATGATCCCCTATTGCCCGGGGGCCCCATGAATTGTCAGTCCGCCCCTGCTCAGGAATTGACCATCTCACAACTATAGCAGCCTTATATCTTGTACATCAGCACATTTGACCTTTGCCTACTATATTTTCTTTGGGAACCAGCCCAGAGTTTTCTTTTAACACCCTGACTTCCGCTACCGAGAGACTGTGCCTGTCGCAAGCCTGAGCTCTCTCTGACCGACAGACATCCTCCAAGCAGCTGCTTTTTTTTTTTTCTAAGTATTATTTATCTGGCTGTCAAGATTTATGGTTTTCATTAATGGAAATGCATTGTGAATATTTTAACAGATGCGTAGTGACCTTGCCTGTTCCCCCGCTGCACACTCTTGGGATAATTGCTATGTGATAAGCAGACACAGCTGACCTCTTATTTTTCCTATTAGGCATAAACAGGCATAGAGCACCAGCGTGCCTGTGGCGTTCCGCCTGTGTTACAGACATCTCATTTGTATTCTGGAAGGGCACCTGTGCTGATGGAGTGACGCTGGCCGCAGTCCGCAGGAATCCAAGTCACAGCAGAACAGAGCGCTCACCGTTCTAAATTTACAATTCACCCCGCAGAATATTTCCTATCAACAGCGCGCAGGATTAAAGGCAATCTGGGAGGAAGCTGAACACCTGTCTCAGAAGCCTCTGATGGAAGCAGCCATGGATCCTTGTGGGGCCACTACTGTTCCTACTGACACTTCAACCTCTTGGTCACAGCCTACTATCAGTCCCATGTGAGGAAGAAACATTGACTACTTTTATTGTAAGTCCCTGACTCCATAAATCTTTGTAGACACACAGGGCTGAATTTATAAAATATTTGATGTGCTGTTCATCATGTGAAACCGTATGTACATTCCTTCTGTTCAAATGTGGGTGAAATCGAAAGTTAGTAGTCTGTTTTCTCTCCAGGTCAAATGTAATTCATTCATACAAGAATAGAGTGAATTAGGAAAATTCCTTGGCCACAATAAGTATTTATTTCCTATGATCATCAGGTCCATCGCCGATTTTTCTCACCACTGTGGGTCCTTGATGCCCGCATTTGTGGATTTTCCATCCGTTTATGACTTCCTGAGGAATCACACCTTGCTCCCCACTGCACACATGCACAAGATCGCACAGTGTAATGAGGCTGGTACTGCATCCTCCTGGGACATGTGGGACATGTGATGTCTTCCAAGAGGTTGGTTGCTGGTACTGCATCCTCCTGGGACATGTGGAACATGTGATGTGTTCCAAGAGATTGGTTGCTGGTACTGCATCCTCCTGGGACATGTGATGTGTTCCAAGAGGTCGGTTGCTGGTACTGCATCCTCCTGGGACATGTGGGACATGTGATGTGTTCCAAGAGATTGGTTGCTGGTATTGCATCCTCCTGGTATTGCATCCTCCCCTGGTATTGCATCCTCCTGGGACATGTGACATGTTCCATGAAGTTGAGGTCAAGGAGAGGGCAGGCAGGGCCGGTGCTTCCACTAGGAACACAACTAGGCAGCTGCCAAGAGTGCACTGCTACCTAGGGGCGCATGGGTGCAGCACAGGCTGGTACTCTCTGTGTGTGGGATGCCGTCATGACGTCATGAATGATCCTCCACCTGAGAGGAGGGGTGGCAGAGGGGAGGGGAAGAAAGGAGAGAGGAAGATTCTGGGTGTCTGGGGCCAGTGTAGCAGCTGAGCTGCCGCTCCTTCCAGTGTTCCTCTCAGACTCAGTCCCTTACTGCAAGCTGACTGACGGCTGCTGATCACTGTGGAGTTCCAGCTCTTCTATTGCCCATTCATCAGTGGAGGCAGAGCTGCGCCTGCGGAGGAAGGAAAAGTCTGACTCTGATGTCTCGTGTCTGTGTAAGTGTGGCCTAGCGGCCGGCCATCCATCATACATGTGCAATGTGTGAGTGATGACATCATCGCAGTCCCACGGTCTGCTCTTTTAGTGTCTGGGCTGCTGATCTGTGTCAGTGTTGGTGGTGATGTGTTGTGTTGGATCTGTCACTGTGTGGGATCGCTCAGTTCAGTTGTTCTCTGTGTGTGGGGGCTGGGCTGCCTGCTGTCACAGCGTTTTAATCTCCCCCCATTTCCTGGGGAATTCCAGCCTGGGATCTGTCAGAGTGTGGATCCATCATCCTCCACTCACTGCAACTGTCACCCTGCCACTGCCAGCCACAGATACACTCCATCCGTGACACTGATTTTGTCCTTAATACTGGCAAAATTAAAAGCAATTTGGCACTTTTATGTTTTGTTGATGTAATATTTTCTATTGTTTTTTAAATTATTTATTTATTTATTTAGTCTGGCCCTGGGGGTAGGACAAGCAGCATCATTCTTGCCGAGTTGGAAATTGAGGAAATGGGAGCAGGGGAGGGGTTCTGTAGTCCAATACATTTGTCTTTTCATCCTTATAACAAAGGGGGTGTTCTGTAGTCAAGCAAAGAGTACTTCATCCTCTCCTCATCATCATAAGATAAAAGGAGATGTTCTGTAGTCCAGCAGAGAACACTTCCTCCTATTGTCATTTCTGTAACATAGGACAAGGTGTTCTGTAGTCCAGCACAGAATACTTACTCCTTTTCTCATCTCCATAACATAAAAGGAGATGTTCTGTAGTGTAGCACAGAACACTTCTTTCTTTTCTCATCCTCAAAAGAAAGGGGGTGTTCTGCAGTCCAGCACAGAATACTTCCCCCTTTTCTCATCTCCATGCCATAGGAGAAGATGTTCTGTAGTCTAACACAGAACACTTCCACCTCTTCTCATCCCCATAAAATAAGAGGCTATGTTCTGTAGTCTAGCACAGAACACTTCCTCCTGTTGTCATTTCCATAACATGGTGTGTGTGTGTGTGTGTGTGTAAGGGGGGGGGGGGGGTCTGTAGTCCAGCACAGAACACTTCCTCCTCTTCTCATTTCCATAACATAAGAGGAGATGTTCTTCAGTCCAGCACAGAACACTTCTTTCTCTTCTCATCCTCAAAACAAAGGGGGTGTTCTGTAGTCCAGCACAGTATACTTCCTCCTTTTCTCATCTCCATACCATAGGAGAAGATGTTCTGTAGTCTACCACAGAACACTTCCACCTCTTCTCATCCCCATAAAATAAGAAGACATGTTCTATAGTCTAGCACAGAACACTTCCTCCTATTTCTCGTCTCCTTAACATGGTGTGTGTGTAAGAGAGAGAGGGGGGTCTGTAGTCAAGCACAAAACAATTCTTCCTGTTCTCATTTCCATAATATAAGTGGAGATGTTCTGCAGTCCACCACAGAACACTTATTCTCATCTCCATAACATTGTGTGTGTGTGTGTGTGTGTGTGTGTGTGTGTGTGTGTGGTCTGTAGTCCACCACAGAACACTTCCTCCTATTCTTTATCTCTATAACAAAAGGCAAGGTGTTTTGTAGTCCACGCAGAACACTTCCTCTTATTCTCATCTCCATAACATGGTGTGTGTGTTGTGTGTGTGTGTGTGTGGGGCGGGGTCTGTAGTCTACCACAGAACACTTCCTGTGTCTCATTTCAATAACATAAGAGGAGATGTTCTTCAGTCCAGCACAGAACGTTTCCTCCTCTTCTCATCTCCATAACATAGGAGATGTTCTTCAGTCCAGCACAGAACGTTTCCTCCTCTTCTCATCTCCATAACATAAGAGGAGATGTTCTCCAGTCCAGCGCAGAACGTTTCCTCCTCTTCTCATCTCCATAACAGAAGAGGAGATGTTCTCCAGTCCAGCGCAGAACGTTTCCTCCTCTTCTCAGCTCCATAACATAAGAGGAGATGTTCTTCAGTCTAGCGCAGAACGTTTCCTCCTCTTCTCATCTCCATAACAGAAGAGGAGATGTTCTCCAGTCCAGCGCAGAACGTTTCCTCCTCTTCTCAGTCTCCATAACATAAGAGGAGATGTTCTTCAGTCTAGCGCAGAACGTTTCCTCCTCTTCTCATCTCCATAACATAAGAGGAGATGTTCTCCAGTCCAGCGCAGAACGTTTCCTCCTCTTCTCAGCTCCATAACATAAGAGGAGATGTTCTTCAGTCCAGCGCAGAACGTTTCCTCCTCTTCTCAGCTCCATAACAGAAGAGGAGATGTTCTTCAGTCTAGCGCAGAACGTTTCCTCCTCTTCTCATCTCCATAACAGAAGAGGAGATGTTCTCCAGTCCAGCGCAGAACGTTTCCTCCTCTTCTCAGCTCCATAACATAAGAGGAGATGTTCTTCAGTCCAGCGCAGAACGTTTCCTCCTCTTCTCAGCTCCATAACAGAAGAGGAGATGTTCTTCAGTCTAGCGCAGAACGTTTCCTCCTCTTCTCATCTCCATAACAGAAGAGGAGATGTTCTTCAGTCTAGCGCAGAACGTTTCCTCCTCTTCTCATCTCCATAACAGAAGAGGAGATGTTCTCCAGTCCAGCGCAGAACGTTTCCTCCTCTTCTCAGCTCCATAACATAAGAGGAGATGTTCTTCAGTCCAGCGCAGAACGTTTCCTCCTCTTCTCAGCTCCATAACAGAAGAGGAGATGTTCTTCAGTCTAGCGCAGAACGTTTCCTCCTCTTCTCATCTCCATAACATAAGAGGAGATGTTCTCCAGTCCAGCGCAGAACGTTTCCTCCTCTTCTCAGCTCCATAACATAAGAGGAGATGTTCTTCAGTCCAGCGCAGAACGTTTCCTCCTCTTCTCAGCTCCATAACATAAGAGGAGATGTTCTTCAGTCCAGCGCAGAACGTTTCCTCCTCCTCTCCATAACATAAGAAGAGATGTTCTTCAACACTTCCTCCTATTCTCTTCTTAATATAGAGAGAGGTGACCTGCAGCAAAGGCCGAGCTGTCAGTTCACTATAGAAATTAGTAGCTTGCCGAATTTTTGGCAGGACCATAAGTTATTTCATTGTCCCTGCAGCATTTGTAATGAGACAAAAGGTGTACTGCATATATTCTTTTGCTCAAAATGTGGAAAAAGAAAGAAGATAAAAAGACCAGTCCCCGAGCTGCAAATTACGGTTTATTTCCAGAAACTGGGAACTTGTGT